AATTACAGATCAATCTCCCTCATGAATGTTGAAACAAAAAATACTCAATAAAATACTGGCAAACTAAATCCAAGAACACATGAAAAATAATAATTCATCCTGATTAAGTAGGCTTCAGCCCGAATATGCAAGGTTGGTTCAACATACAAAAATCTATCAATGTAATCCACCATATAAGCAAACTGAAGTGGAAAACCACATGATCATCACATTAGATGCTGAGAAGGGTGTTGCTGGGGTTGGAGTAGAGAGTGTAGCAAGGGAAGAAGGAGGGGCAGAAGGAATCTAAGGCACTGGGAGGTGTGGTAGAGCTGAGGTTTGAGAAAGAGGAGAGAGTTAACAGGGTAAGGCCCTAGACAGGGGATCAAGAACAGGCCAGGAGACAGTACCACACCCCGCTCAAGGTCAAAAGAGGGTAAGGGTGTCTTAAGAGGAGAGAATAGAGCATTGAGGTGTTGACTGGTGTATTTGTCCCACGTGATACCACAGCCGTTTAGCTCCCAAATACAGAGGTCTACATTAATTATAAACTGATTGGCCTATTAGTTCAGGCTTCTTATTAACTCTTTCTTACATCTTATATCAACCCATTATTCTTGTCTGTGTTAGCTACGTGGCTTCGTACCTTTTTCAGTGAGGCATTCTCATCTGGCTTCCTCTGTGTCTGCATTAAGACTGCAGACTAACTGTTTACTCTTCCTCAAATTCTTGTTGCCCCGACTTTACTTCCTGCCTGGCTACTTGCCAATACAATTGACAGAGAACAGAACATTGTCCCACAGCATTGGAAGTTAGGGGTTGTAGGGGCAAGACAAAGGGGAAAAGAAGGAGAGCAGCAAGTAAGAGGTTGAGGGCTGCCAGCAGAGAAGAGAGGGCCCTAAAACTGGGGCTAAAAGAAGACAAGGACAGGGTGTGGCCCTAGACAGTAGAGGTAGGACAAGGCAGAGTAGAGAGAGAGGCACAGTGGTGGGGGGGGAGTAGAAGGTGAGGCCAGCCAAGTTTGGGGACTTAGGACAGGAACTGAGAGGATGTGAAGAAATCCCATAGTCTCTGATAATTCCTTTCTGACCTCAAGCACATAACTGTGGCATACACCCACAGGACTGAACTTATTCCTGGACTTTCTGCCATGCTTCAGTTGCCTAGGGTCTCCAAGGGTGCAGATGATTTGTGTGGGAAGGGACCACATGGAGTGGGAGACCTGGGAACACCAGAACCAGGGAGCCCTGGCTACTTAGCTTCTGCCTAGGTGTCTTGGCCTGTGTCAGACAAAGGACCTGTTGAAGACTTTCCTGGAAGCTGATGTAAGCACAAATCTTCTAAAAAAAAAAAAAGGGGAAGGGGTGTGACAGATAAAGCCCAAACTTTTGAGGTCACAGCCCTGATTCTGAAATTTCAGCAGGAAGCTGGCGTCTATTACATGCCCTTCACATCTGAGGCTGGGTTTAGAGAAGGGAACCCACGGCCTAGCCACAGTGACTAAGCAACCTGCCTCTGCACAAACTCTACCAGCCTATGAGTTTGGGGGATTCAACAACATGACTTGAGGGGATAGAGGGGCACAGGATCCAAGATGAAGGGTGATCCTATCTGAGTTGATGATCCTGGGCCTCCACCCCCATCCCCCATCCCCTCAGGCTCCTTCTGGATAAGCCTACAGTCTAGACCCTGGGGTTAGCTCTCTACCTCACCCCTCACTCTTTCTCTCAGAGGCTTTCAGAAAAGCTGAAAAGTTTCAGAAAAAAATACAACAGTATGGCATGACTGCAGTAGAAGAAACAGAAGTTCACTGTGGCTCATCAGAAGTCACTGACTCTCTAAACCCATAGATGTCCCAGGGACAGGAGTCATACCACCCCAGTTCCCTCCTCCTTCTCATTTTTTTTTTTCTCACTGGAAAAGGTTGCCAGCTTGCACCAGTTCCCTTCATCAGCTTTCTCAGAGCTGAAGGCAGAGGTCACCACACACAGCTTCACTGACTTTTTCATATACTGAACCAGCACCCATTTCACCATTCTTATATCCCTTTCCCATCCTCCTATCCAGGTAGGTGGCACTCCTTGCCCCTGCCTGAAGACACACCCAAGAAATCCATGCACTCTCACCCATAGAGCCTAAAGTAGGGGATATGGGACAAAGTTTAAATCACATAGGATGCTCCCAGTGGTGCTGAGTAAGACATAAGAAAGAATCTGTTCTTTCCTCCCGGACCTCCCAGGCTAACTCCTGGGCAGACAGTAGCAGATAATGGGGTTCATTTCAGCAAGCATCGCATAGCTTTTATCTACAGATCACATAATAACATTGACAACTTGGCAAGTCACTCCCTCTCTACATCAAACACTCTATCCCAGCTTCAGTGTGAAAGCAACACAAGAGATTGGGGAACAACAGGAGACCAGGTTTGGCCCCTGTACTCATCTTCTGATTCCAGATTAGGTAGCATCCTGTATCCCAGTAGTGGTACCCACTCCCCTGAGCACTCTCTGCAAGTGGTGCCAAAGCTGTGTGCTAAACAACCAGGAATGTTCCTGTGCTGCCTGTGCCTCCTGGGCCAGCAGGAGTTGAGTGGAGGAGGCCCTGATGTTTGTATCCATCATTGTCTGTAGTTCCCAGGAATGAGGACACTCCTGAGTCAGAGACGCTTGCTAAGGGAGAGGGGAAACCCCCTTCACTTCTAGGGTGAGATTCCTATAACCATCAGGGGAACAGAACATGTTCTGTCAGACAAGACTCCTTGTCCCTCCCTGCTAGGCAGCTCCCAAGATGTATGACCACCGTGTCCCTTCTGGATTTGTCTCACTTCTGGACATCTTGTCTGACTGTGATCATCTACATAATAACCTAGTGGGAAAGAGCTCACCTCACCATGTCTTCCTGAGGCCTGATGGGCCATCTGATAGCCTAGGACCACAGGCTGCTCTCTCCCAGGCCCCAGGATTATACCAGGGGGGGCAGAATGAAATGGAATCTATTTTCCCTGCTGCAGGTGGATCAGGATGGCTCCTGTCCAAGCAAGGCACTTCTCCATTTAGACACTGCCATGAACTCCACCCAGGAGCCATTTCCTTGATGACACCTCAGACTGGCATATTGCCCTGGGGACATTGGTGAGTCAGAGAACTCAGTACTGCTCAGTCCAGCAGGCTGGGTGCCTCTACAGTGGCAATCTGACAGTGAAAGCTAGCAGCTACAGACTTTGTCACTGAGAATACCTGTGGAGGTAGCAGTAATAGACACTTCCTCCTCATGGTGACCTGGGCTGGGTCATCCCACTGATGGAAGGTCTTGCTGTGATTTATTGTTCTCTCTGGAAACACTCCCACAGACACAGAGCATCTCAACCATTCTCCATATCTGCTACGCCAGTCAGGACGACAATGTTGATCACTGTCCCTTACAGTTTGTCCTCTGTGTTTTCACTTACAGTGCCTACTATAGAGTAAACACAGCATAGAGGCAACACAGACATAAAAACACACATTGCTCTACAGATACCACTACAGCCTCCCCCACCCCTGCCCTACTGTACCCTCCTCTCACTTTCCTGGACCTTCATTTATTTCCTGGTTTCTCCCCACACTTACTTCCCATTATATAACCATATTTAACTTTTAGAAGCTTAGATCCACAATGATTTCAAGGTCATTTTAGATACAGGTTTGGGGAGAGGTGCAGTTTCTGGGACTCACTGGCCATACACCATAAACAACTCAGAGAGCTGAGGCCTTTGAAAGAACTATGTCCTCAAGTAAGTTTGATGGAATCTGTGGATCCAGAGCCAAGGTCAGTCACCATCCTGTATGAACAGCACCCACCACACCGCCCTCCCCACACTCATATACACCTTCACAAGTATAGGGTTCAACTGCAAAAAAAAAAAAAAAACTAAATAAAACACCTAAAAGAGTGACAGAAAATTCAAAAATTTTCTACCAAAGATGTGGATTTTTCCTATGTAAAAGCCTCTTCTAAAATAGAAAAAAATCATTTTTACTTCATGTGTATGAGTGCCTTATGTATGTGTGCCTCTCTGGCCCATGTGTGTGCAGTGCCCATGGAGAATCCCCTGGAACCTCATTTTCCCTGGCTGTGAGCTGCTGTCTGAGTGCTGGGAATTCAGCCTGGGTCCCCAAAGAGCAGCTGGTGATCTTACCCTCCGGGTCCTCTCTCCAGACCCCAGAACCTGCTTTTAATTGGGAGAAGATTTTTAGTTGCAGAACTCTCCTGAAGGTCTTAGGTGCCAGTGTCACGGAGGTAAGGAGGAAAGCTCAGACTTCCTTCCCCACAAGACAGCTACTGTCTCCAACAGGGAGAGAGGGTAAGGAAGGAAATGGAGGGGGAAGGGAGAGTGGCAAGAGGGAGCTGAGGGAGGGACCACCTTGACAAGCTGGGACACAAGAACTTGAGGGTGCAAAGACCTTGAGGGGGTGATGGGGAAGGGACCTGGAGAGGCAAATGAGTCTGGAATGGGGGAGAGAAACTTGAGAAAGAGGAAGTGAGAAAGAGCAGGCTGGAGGTCCCAGGGAACCCAGAGGAATGGTCTAGAGAGAGACAGAGAGAGTGTGAATCTAGAGAAGCAGGGGAAACTGTTAAAGCTACAGTGCCACTTACTGGAAGGACCAAAAGACACTTTGTTGCTGTGGGCGTGGAAACCTCACCGCAGGGGAGGGGCGGGTAAATATCTGCTTAACTTTTGTCGGAGAACGAGCTGAAGACACGAGTTGCTGAAAGCAAGGCTTTATTCAGTCTCTGTCTTTCCTGATTCTGTTGCCCACGGCCCCCGAGGGTGCAGCTGCGGGTGAGTGAGGGGAAGGGATAGCAGGAGTGGGAGCCCAGGACCACAGTGTCCTCGCCTATCCATTCACAAGAACGCTCCCTGCGCCTGAGTGCAAGGGGAACCGCGATCTGCTGGGAGGGAGGACCAGCCACAGGGCCCTGATGGAACCCTGAAGAGATGCAGGAAAAGATGAAGACTGGGAACCGGCATGGCTGGCGCACAGAAGGACTAAATTCACAGCCCTGTTGCCCGGTCTTTGGTGAATCTCCACGTGAGGTCCTCTGCGGGGCGGTACTGAGGACTCCCCATTCTCTCCGCAGCTCTAGTCACACCAGTCCGGTGCCGCACCTCAGGAAGGAACCATGGCAAAGGCTGCAGCCACCGGACGCAATCTTTCCCTAGTTCTGCGCCTTTTCGTTCTGCTGAGCTGTCCGGGATCATCTGTGCAGCACCGTGAGTTACCGGGACAGAAATGAATGGGAGTGGGGGAGGGGAGCACTAAGGAGGAGGGGGGGAAGGAGCATGGGGCAGGAAGATCAAAGTCGCCTCAGGGGAAGCTTCTGGGCTTCTTTCTCTTCACTATCTCCGGGATTTAAGTCTGGACGCCCTGGTCGTCACTGTATCCCTCCCGCTTTCTCTTCCGTGGATTGACCAAGTTAGGGGAAAGTTACAGCTGCAGGGCCCGAAGGGGTTGCATGAAAGAGGAGCGCACGGCAGCAGAGGGGAGTAGCTAGTGATGCCCTCAGCACCACTCATCGGAGCCTAAGCCCAGTCGCCAGTGTGGAGCCCTCCGGGAGGCGATCTCAGACAGCTGCCCTGGACCTAAGGCAGTTTGTGCTCTGAAGACTGCCTTCCCGGGGATTCTTCACAAGCCCTCCACCTTGCCTGGACCCATTTGTGCCTGAGCTTTCTCTCCCCGTCCTCTCCCCCCCCCCACGCTATTCTCCAGAAGATCACAACTGATGTTTCCAAGGAGAAGGCAGCCACAACCACACACGTTCGTACTTTACTTCCTTTTTTGTTTTCTCTTGTTTCGTTTTAAGACAGGATTTCACATCAAAGCACACCCTATAGAATCTGCAATAACCTTCTCCCTCTCCCCTTCCCTCTCCCCCTCCCTCTCCCTCTCCCTCCCCTTCCTCCTCCCCTCCCCATCCCCTTCCCATCCCCCTTCTCCCCTCCTCCTCCCCCTCCTCTCCCCCCACCCTTCCCCCCCACTCGCCTCCCCCACCCCTCCACCCCTTCCCCCAATACTCCCCTCCCCC